GGGGAGGAGGGGACGCGGGGAGGGAGGGGCCGGGGCGCTCAGGAAGGGGCCCCCCGGGCGCGGGGCGCCATCTTTTTCGCGTTTTCCCGCGAATTATTGACGTCCCAGCTTATGTAATTAGCAGGGGCCGCACCAGCTTCGCCATTGGAGCCGGAGGTTCGCGGGGCCCCGCAGCGCCGCCCGGGGCCGCCCCCGCGCAGCGAGCAAGAGGCACGGACACAGCGGGCGCACGCGGAAACGCAGCTGTATAGGCACAGCGGGGCAGGGCGTGAGCGCACAGCCTGGACCTGGACGCAGGACGGCCGTATGGGTCGCCCAGCACCTGGATCTCACAGCACCGACATCCCACCCCCGGGATGCGCAGCAGAATCAGACACAAGACACACACAAGCCACTACACACAGCGGAGGGAATCACTGTGCACGTGGCTCATAGGCAGACTGGGAGATACAGTGTCTGCAGTGTAGACCCGGCAGAACCACGTGCAAGGCACACAAGACAGCAGGCATAGAGCTGAGAGACAGTAACAACGCGACCCACGGGAGTGTGCCACCCACGCACTACAGAGATACAAAGCCCAAGAGACAATCGCACTCAGCACGTGCACAAACAGGACCTATAAGTAAAGGGCACCGGCGGTCTTAGAATAGTAGATCATTAGGGCAAGACTCTAAACAGATAAGATCGTCCTCGGGAGATGGGGTAGGGGAGGCAGACGTGTCCTCACCCAGACTCTTGGCTCCTGGACTGGAGGGACCACTGGCCAATACTCCTTACCCCTTCTCTGCCCTCATTTCCAAGGGCCCATGGCACCTCCTAGAGTGCCCTCTGCAAACACACCAGGAGGCTGGGGGAGTGTGTGCATTCATGGATGTGGCTGTGGGCAACACCTTTCCCCCAGAGCCTTCCCTGTTCACTCCGGAGTGGCCCACCTTGCGCCTCTGCTCCTTGGGGTATGAACTCTTCAGCCTGCAGCTTCTGTCTACCCTCTACCTCCTTTCTCCAGCCTGGAGATACAGGGGTCCTGTCCCCTCATCCCCTACACCCCTGGGTCTTGCCACCCATCCTTACTTAACGCCCCATTCTGGGTCTTTGACCCACACCAGAACCTAGTTGCTCCCAGCGTCTGCCACCCTTTGGCTGAGCCTGGAAAGGAAGATGGTGGCAGCCCCTCCAAGACAGTGTCTCCTAGCCTGGGAAAACAAAGGACACAGCTAGATCAAAGGCACCTGCAGGAACCTGCCATTTAGCTATCATCCGCAGAGAGAACACTGGTCCAGCAAGGGCAGGACATTCCCAGGGGCTTCTAGGCTGGCCAGGTGCACCTTTAGGATTTGAGGGGCAGAGATGGTGACTCCACCGATTCCTGGCTGTAAGACTGAGCCTGTTTCTTTGTGGTCCTCATAGAGCTGCTGGGAAGATCGGGGGTGCTGTATGCAAAGCCCCTGTCACCAGTGGGTATGGGGAAGATAGTGTGTTCTGTCAAGAAATTTGTTCCCTTGTGTGGGGCTACAACTGGGGGCTGATAGCACACAGGTGAGGAGGAGAAATGGGCCTGTTGAGGGAGTGAGTTAGTGTCTGGGCAACATCTTTCTAAATAAAAGAATAGTGATCTGGGCATGGAATTGGGGAATTCTTGCTCCAAGTCCAGCTCTGCCTCTGAGCAGAGGGATCTTGAGCGAGCTAGTCCCCAAGGTTCATATATACCACGTGTCCTTATTTGTTCAATGGGGACAGTAATACTACCTCATCTCACAGAGCCATTGCTTAGATAAAGGTTGGCACAGGATTAGGAAAGAGCAGGTGCTTTGGTAAACTACAAAGTGGCATGTGAAATGACAAGGTGTTAAAACGCAAGACAGGAAATTGTAACGGCCACAAGAAAGGTTGAGCGTCATTCATGGTGGTTTAGAGGCTGTTTCATGGAGAAGTTGGCATTCGGATAGGATGCAGAAATAGGGAGGGAGGGATTTCAGGAGGAGGGAATCGAATGAGCTGGCAAAAAACAAAACAAAAATGAGGTTAAAAAAATGGGCAATCTTTGCTTTCAGCACAAGTACTAAAATTGGAATGATACAGAGATTAGCATGACTCCACAAATATTCACAAAGCATTCCATAATTTCCTGTAAGAATGCTGTTTGCTGGAGTTCTGTGTCCCCCCCCCCCTTTTTTTTTTGTCTTTTTAAGTTGGTTTCCCTTTAACCCCAGCGGCCCTGCACTTCATTATGCAGTTCACCCCCTCTCCTTCACATCACCCAAA